CAGCACTGGGGCCACACTGATGCCCAGTAATTTTGGTAGAACTCACTCAATATCTATTTCTACACGTAGTAATTCCACAGAGTTTGTCCATTGCCTTGTATGACTATGTACCAGCCACTTTAAGTGTTACAGAGATACAAGAAGGAAAAAAAAGAAAGTCACACAGGCCCTGAATAATCCTCATTCCATCCAGTCCTGTACAAGCACAAGTCAGCTTTTCCAGGCTGATGTAGATTGAAAGATTTAAGCTGTACAGAAGCTTTGGTCTATTTGAAATTGATGAACAAATGCCATTACTGTTCAGTCAAATAACTGCTGTTAACGCAAGAGGTATTTTTTTTTTTCAGGTCAGTCAGCTTTTCTAAGGAAGCAAAAAATAAATTTGGTATTGGAAAGGACCCCTGAGAGGAACAGTAAATTCTTGATCTGGAGTCAGACAAATAAAAAATGGGAAGTATGCAATACACATCCTTACCAAAGAATCAGTCAGATCTTTTCGGTAGACAAACATACGACTGGATGACTCAAAAGATTTTGAGATAGCCAAGTCATTTGGTTGTAGTTCATGTTTTTCTGTAAAAACAGAAAACAAAACACACAAGCTTCAGAAAAGGAGGAAAAGCTTTATATAAATACGAGGAAAACATTACAAATATATTTGTAAAGCCACATCAATTTAGAATTTAACTAAGCTTCAAACGCAGTCCATATGCATATGCCAAACACGGGATCATCATCTCCACACTATTCAGGCACGATAAAGTCGAGATGTCTCTGATGCTGGACTAGAGCACAAAAACTTCCAGCATCTGCTTTCAACTTCACATAGGATAGAACAGAAAGAAACCCTTGCATCATCTAGTCTAACCTCCTAGGCATTACAGAACATTTCATTTCAATCCCGTGTATCTACTGTAAATGTAGTGACTTTCGTTAGAGCAAAGCGTCTCAGGCTCCGGAGACCGAGCTGTTACATGTCACTGGCAGACACGAGCAGGGGTGGAGAGGTCATCAGCAGCCATGGCCATTCAACAGGAAAAGAAGTTTAAAGGACCCCAGCACCATGAAATTCACACCATGGAGCAGAGCTGAGGAGTCCTTGATAGTACAGTTTGTATAGAAATTCCTCCACACCTAGAGTAATTCATTTAGGAAACGCTTGAGTAGAAGAGCAGGACACACCAAACTGGTAGCAAAGAGAAAGGAACTTTTTTTTGCTCCACTCCAGAGAACTGGTTCAGCTCTGGGCATTCTTGGATGCACCAGAGAAAGGTGTGGAGAAAAATGAAGCAAAACCCAGAACACAGCTAAAAAACTTCCCTGGGAAAACTCTCTCTTCGTAAAGGCTCCAAGTAATCTTCTGGAGACCTGACAAATGAGATTTGATTACAGTGGCTGTATTAATGCAGACCCCAAAGCACTGCAAGCACGTTGAGAGCTACTTTGGTCTTTTCATTGCCCATGAAGGAGGAGTAGGACTAGGAGGAGTCTGAGAGGCAAACATCATTTCAAACTGTCTGTTTTCCCTCTTATCCATGCTCACACTGATACATTTATGTTGAACCACCAGTATGTTTTTTCAAGGTAATTTTCAATAAAAAGAGCTTGCTTGTTCATTTCAGGATTACAATAAGAACATGTTCTCCGACGCTCATACTGCTGCCCTCCAGGTGGATGGCAGATGACAGTTCTGAGTCATGCAAATAGCAAAAAAACTCCAAAGAATAAAGAAAGCATGGCAGGCTGGTGTTTATTGCTTGCAGCAGAGGAGTGCCAATGCATAAGAACAAGGATACTGAAATTGTGGTGTCTCCAATTAATTCAGGCAACGTGACTAAATAACATTTTGGGGGTTACAATGGTCATGTACAAACGGCAGTCCTTTTGTACCTACATTTTAATTATTGTTTCTTATTGAACAGCCAAGTGGCAACCACTTCTATTCTGTGGCTTTCTCGGGAACCAATGGGGTCTAGAGACAATAGCGTGTTTCATTATTTATGAATTGCTGGTTTTCTTTAGCTAAGTAGGCAGTTAGCACCAGATTTATTGTTATCAGAGCAAAACTTGCCCTGCTCTTGAACAGGAGCGCAAGACCTGAAAAATACGAGCAGCACAGTGACTCTGCAGTGCTACAAAATGCCCTGGAGGCAAGTTTGGGCGCACACAAGGGTAAAAGGAGCGTGCCTGCCAATGATGTAACCCAGCTGGCCAGGATGCCTACGTGCCACGCTCCTGTGCGGCCGCTCCATGACCAGGCTCTTGACAGCTGGGGCAGGGCACCATCTCCCTGCCACCCACACCGGTGCCCTGCAAAGGAATGGCTGTTTAACTGAGCTCAGCGTGGGGGAGAAAAATGTGACCTTCCACTTCTGAATCACGTAAATAAACAGAACAAGCCAGCATTTGTCTGTATTTCATTTAACTAGACTGATGAAGAAGTAAGAATGAGTGCCATATCTTTAAGGGTGCATCCTTTGTCCCAGGGGACCGACACCAACTAACGTTTATCTGAGAATATGGCCAAGATATTCTAAACTCTTTTTTTTGTAGATCCAGCTTGGCATTTCTATGCGCCTAGTTAAATTACTTTATATTCCTTCAGAGCCAAAAGCTGCCACAATGAGGAAAACAATCTGACTGAAGACTTTGAGACCTGACAGACGCCAAAGCAAATCTTGGTGGTTTGGCTAGTCCCTAGTATCAGCCCATAATCGGTCTGGTCCTCCTTAAAAAAAGACAGTAAGCTTTTCTGTTCAATGAGAAACACTAAAACAGTAAGCAAAAAATGTCAGTTGTAAGCAAGACTGCTTAAAAAATATTGCTTAGATTGCTCTTAGTACCTCAACTATGCAAATACATGTCTCCCTCCTTTCTGCTGGAGAATATTCATTACCCATACAGCCATGCATACAGAATTTGTTATCCCCTTCTATATTTTAAAATAGACCATGCCTCATCGCCTTTCAAATTAATTTAAATGCAGAAGTAGGAGATTCATCTGTGGGGAAAAAATAAAATCTTGCAATACTGCCGTGGAGCCTGAGTCCTTTGCACTCCCTTCCCAGTGAGGAGATGCCGTATCCGATGGTACCCGAGAATGAGCTGTTGCCATGGAAACGACTCTCTGGGAAGCAGCTCCTCATTGTTGCCTTGGTCATCCAGCTGCGGGCCTGCACAGGAACAGCTGTATCCTTGCACCAGAAAATGTCAGCCCTCCCTTACACGATGCACTAAAAGGTAAGTAATCAGATGAAGGGAAGTTATTTACCGCCAGAGAACGCGACTGTCACCAGCGCCAGCTCCTCCTCCGGGTACTGGATCTTTTCTGCTACGATCTTCAGTATCTCCTGAGCTGAAGTGGATACTTGAGCTTTCACACTGACATAGGAGTGCTCTGTTATGTAGACACGGCAGAAAACTGCACAAAGGAAGAAAGACACACTCAGCAGCAGGCGGAGACACCTGAACAGAGCAGGGGAGAACCCCGCAGACCCGACCATAGCAAAGCCTCGGCTGCCTGGCTGCTGCAGCTGCAGGAGGGGTGGCCGCTGCACTCTGATCTAAAAGGACATGAAACTAAGCAGAAACCTCACCATTTTCCCCCTTCCCACCTCCTCTCCCTGGGAAATGAGAGGGCCAAGCAAATGGACCCAGAGACCCCCCATGGCTGCATTTCAGTAATACCTATTTGACTTCCTACCACAAGGATTTGTCACGGACAACATCCCCTACTGCCTATCTTCTTTGCAAACTCAGCTGTTGCCATCTTTTCTCCCTTTCTTTTAAGTTCAGGGAAATCACCGTCCTTTCAGTAGATTTCATATCCGCTGCAGAAATTATTTTGTACTTCCACTTTCACCTGGAACAGGAGGCTTTGCAAAGAGCAGCGCTCCCTGGTCTTCAACCACTCCCGCTAGCTTATCTGTCTAGACATCTAAACTACTCGAATTGCCAGGGTTTTTTAGCACCAGCAAAATGAAACTGGTTTGGAGAAATTCCATGGGCTCATCACTTCCACTGAGGTCTATGAGTTGGTTAGGCTCTGAGAGGGAGATTCCCCGCAGTAACGTTGTGGTCAGCTCAGGTAGTACTTTATTTCTGCTACAAAAAGGGATGTACACTCTCTCCGCTTGCCAGAATTTTAGGTTTACATCTTGTGCCGACTTTGCTGTAGCCAGTTCTTTGAAATGCAGCTGCCATACTTAAAAGGAAAGAAACAGAACTGCAGACCCGCATAAATATTTCAAAAATTACAACGTCTGCTAATAAAGAACACCCACAACTCTTGGTTTCATGCTCACTTCAGTGCTTAATTAAACTTCCCATTTCCTTCTACTCTAGTACTTCTTATTGCAGGCAGGCTGCTACCATGTCAGTATAAGACAAACTTTTTCTTCTCCAGAAATGCTGTATTTTTAGAATTATTTTTATTGACAGATGTATGTAGCAATAGCTCTTTGCTTGTCCTACAAATCTTCACAGCTTCAGGGCACTTTCACTAACCGAGACCGTGCCAGAAGCAGTTAAGAACTCTATCCTCGTATCTTTTGTGTTGTAGTAAAGAAAAAATGAAGATGAGAAGGAAGGAGGAACTTAACATTTAACCTTGGGGAACAAAAGTAATTTGATTTTATAATTTTTTCTTAACCTGTCTCTGCAGACAGACAGTAAATCAGATGCTCATGCGATGGCAGAATCTCTCTTCAGAATGGATATAACTCATGAAAAGATAGAGACATCAAATTGCACTCTAAATTACTAGGTAGAAGAATAAATTTTAAAAAACCTGACAGGAATATTTGGACTCCATATGCAGAAGGCAACACAACCTGCCTACAGTGAATTTGTTTGAAATCTCCTCCTCTCTGTCATTCGGGAGGAGAAAATGACAGCAATATATTAATTTATAACTGGGCTATTGACATTTGTTTAACATTGAACTAAACCAGTCTACAGGTCAGGTCCTCGAACACAACCACCATACCGATTCTCCCAAAGCCTGTTCCCCCCCCCACCTTTCCAATGTTCTCTCTGTGGTACCTATTGGCATGGACCATGCTCTCTCTTCCAGGAGCCTGTGCTGCTCCTCTGTGAGGTGCAGGAGGGAATGCCAGTGGGAGGAAGCGGCCGTGGGTTGCAAGTCACCCTGGTAATGCTTACATGAGGGGATAAAATGCCTCCGGTCAAGTGGCATGGTGCGGCTTGGGCAGACCCCACCTCATCAGTCGGCAGCACTCCACCACACCAACTTAGATGTCCACCCTCACCATCTGTCTCCCCTCTCCCCAACTCCACTTTTGTTATTTCATTCTCTCAATCCCATCATCTTCCATGGCTCGTGCTCTCAAGGAGCAAGATAAAAGCAATTTAACCCAGTCGGGGCTGGCCTTGCTGGGTCCTGCCCTTTCTGTCCCCATGCCACGCAGTCTGTCCCCTCTCTGGTGCCAGTACATTTCCCTCCCCATTCACCCATGAGCTGCATCTTGACTTTTTGAGAAGAATGAGGGTAGGGGTTCTTATCCAGAAATGACATTTTTAGAAGCAGCCTTGATAACATAAATCTCAAATAAACTTCTATTTGAAGCACGGAAGGAGGATATCTATCAGCAGCACGTATTGTGCGGAAAGACTTGGCATTGAAGGAGCTCCGTTTTTATTCTGTCACAAATGACCTCTAAAAATATCCTGACTCCAAGTGAACTTCCGGAGTTTTGTTCCCGGTGAGAAACAAAGATATATCGTCAAAGGGCAAGACTTCCAGGTAGGAGGCCCTTCTGCCTGTTCTCTGCTTGCGTACACAGTGTTAATCCCCCTCTCTGCCTCCTTCCCCTTACAGGCATTACGGGAGGGTGACAGCCTCACTGTGTTATTGCATTAGTAGAGGATGAAGGAAAATTGCATTTTGAAATGTTTGGCATTAAAGTGAAGTGGCACCTTGCACTCCGCATGGAGATGTTTTTGTAAAGAGAAGGAACTAAGGCATCTTCACAGAGTTAGCAGATCCTGGCCCATTTCACGTGACAGGCTTATTCATTCACCTTTTGCAACCAAGATCTAGGTCAAGAGACTGAGAGCATGAAATGGAGCAGGAATAACGCCTTGTGGATGGGCTGCCAGCCCTCCTGGGAGGAACACAGCTCTGCTACAGGGCTGCTGGAGGAACCAGACGGGGGCAAAAAGCCCTTGAGATACCGTGCCACTGTTGAACCCCTGAAAAGTAGGAGGCAGGAAGGTTACCTTACACAGTCAGATCTTTCTTCTTTTGTGGCCCTAAGGTCCTGTTCAGAAGCTGTATGTCACTTAAAAGAAAAATCACATCATGGGCAGCCCTTGAGAAACAATTTTGCAGTTTTGGAGTTTTTCCACTCTTTCAACCATACTTACTTTCTTCTGTTTCACTCATGGCTCCTCTGTGCTGCAGCCAGTTCTCCTTTAGACTGAACTGGTGGTAAAAGGTTTTATTCTGAGGGAGTGGGAGAGGAAAAAAAAAAAAAAAAAAGACAACAGTGACTCTCCGTATCCTTGCCCTTCACAAAACAGTAATTCACAGAACACAGCATTCAGCCCATACGTCTGGCCAAAAGTTTTTTGTATAGGAAATCCGCCCACCCTTTCTTGGATCAGTAAACCAGGAGTTGCCTTACTAAATTATAGCCAAGGTGGGGATTTTGGAGGAAGCGGGACGTCCTGAGGCTGAGCAGCCCGCACAATTCAAGGTCCTCTGTAGCCATGTTCAGAGCCCATTTCTTATACACTTATATATGCTTCCTGTGTACCAATCAGCCTATTTAGCAGTTGCACTACAATCTCATGTTCTGCCTCCCACACTTCCGCAGTAACATTTTAAGCTTATTAAACACTTCAGCTTCAGCCCAGTAAATTTGATGAGCACAGCAATTCACCTCTGTGTAGTTTGTATGCCAACTTTTTCCGTCTGCATCTTCTCCCTCCAGTTAAATAGACAGATTCATGTTCCTCTCTTTCTTTCTCTGTCCCTGCCACAACAAATCCCCCCTTTGCTCTCTCTACTTGACATCCATAGTCAATGCCTGTGCTCAGCCTGGCTTGCCCAGGTTGCTACATCTCTCCAGCCTGGTGGGGACACACTCCCAGGCCTCTCCTGAATTCTGACATCTCAGAGCATCTTGTTAACATGCTAATACTGTCACAGCTTCTGCAGCTGATATCCAGGCTGATATCAGCTCATGCAGCTGATATCCAGGCTGCCCTGGCAGGAAAAAAAAAAATTCCTTAAGCAACATCGCAGGTCTAACCTCACTGATGCATCCTGTCATGTTTTTGGCCACCAGTCACTTTCAATTGAGAAGCCAAGAAAAGAGAGGGAAGTGAGCAGAGGGGAAGAAAATGAAATTATAAGTTATCTAGCAAGCAGCAAAAATTGGCTTTGCATTACCTTTCGGTGAGGTGAATACTCATCTACAGTGCTGAAACAAAAAGGAAAATCCAAATTATTCTTTCCAGCCAAGGATTAGGGAAATGAAGTTTTAGGTTTTGCAAAGTTTACAACATCAGAAGTTTTTTTTAATATGAAATGGTCACCGCAGAATGGCCATAGAGCTCCTTCAGGGAAAGCTAAGGGCACCTGGCTCAGCCAGAGAACTTTTCTGCGACTTGCACAATCGATGTAGTGAAAAGCAACGCTGCCAGCCCGCGAGCTGCTGGAGAACACGGACGCAGCTCAGGCGCCCTGGGTCAGCAGTCAGAGTCACCCTCTGGGACACAGTTCTCGCCACTTCCCCAACGGCCAAACCACAGAAACAAACTCCATTTGTTGGAAAAACGTGCCAAGGAAATGTCTTTTACCAATACCATAAACATTAGTAAAATAATAGCCCTGAGATGACTATTGCAAAAGAGATTTACTTCTCAGTGCTGCAGATTGCAGAGAGAGAATGAGAATGAATGTACCATCTGAAGCCACAGACTGCAGCTTCTGAGGGAGATTTTGCAGCTTTTCCACAAAGTATCGCTCTACTTGCAAGTGATCCCAACCAAAATTGATGGGATTGACTGGTGAACCACACACACGACCCAACAAATGTCAGAGAAGACTGAATAATCTAGCTTTAGTTTAAAGAAGAGACCATTTGTCAAATGAATATAGTACTTGTATCACTCATCACTTTATCTTTACTGAATTACAGTAAGATGACAACAAAAATAAATTACACTCTAAAAAAAAGGAGGCCTGATTACAAATATAATCAATACTTACTGACGACGATGCATCCCAAGTATCTTCTGAAATTCTTTCAGTTCCTTCTCAAGAATGGGATATTCGTACACATCATCTAACACATTCCTGTATATTGTCTGCAAAACAAAACAGTAACTGCAAACATCTGATAACTCAAACATAAATCTAAGGCATCACGTCAGCGGTCTAAATCAATTCAGGCACTAGCCTAGTAAAACAAATGTCATCATTATATTTATGCAAGACCCATAAGATGAGAATGTTCCTGTTTAAATTTCCGGACTGGTCAATATTCAGCTTGCTTGTGGCAAAACACTCTTTGTATCACCACCAAGCAAGAGGACAAAATGTTGACAGTCATTAGTCTACAGACAGGAGGATTTTAAATGGCATTTGTGGCTGTTTCATGAAATGTGGGTTAGGTCAGAAGAACACATTCTGAAGCGTGGTAACATACTACACCATCATCACTTATCCAAAATGATAACAAACAGGTTCATTTGTTTTCTGCTTTTAAAACAGATGGCCTCCTTCACATTTCTTCACTTTTGCATGCATTTTAAATCAAGCTGATGTCTCTCATAGACAAATAACAACATACTCCTACTTGTAAACCAAGAAATAAATAAAGAAAACATACTTCTTATTTTTGGGGGGAACATTGACTGAATATCTTCAATCACGAACCTCAGTTAAATGTAGAATACACTACCTCAGCTAAGAGGTAAATAAACTGAATCAGCTTTCATGATTGAAATTGTAGGAAATATTTTCTCTGTACACACGTATGAGCAGAGTCATCAGGTTTGCTTTAGCCCAATTAATGTTCCTGCATTCATAAATTTCAGAGTGAATGACTCTGCTTTACAATCCCATATATTGTTTTTGCACATGTAACTTCAACCAGTATGTCCTACTCCAAAACCAAACTAACCAAACAAAAAAGAAAACCAAAAAGGAAGCTCAAGACTTTCTTCAAATTCCGTTCAATATTTCATCCTTCTGTCTTGCAACCAGCAGGGGAGGAAAAAAAAAAAACCAACAACTACCAGATGGATCTTGGGTCAGCAACAACGTGGCTATTTGCAAATTTACAAGGGAATTATAAAAGCTTTTGGGACTCATTCAGAAAGATCAGAAGATCCTTGCTAACAGGTAAGGACGTAATTTTATTTATTAAAAAGACATAAAGCTGTGCTGCTCTCCATGTGCACCTGACAAACACTATGGAAAAGCATTTCATTCCTCAAAGCAGCATCTCTTACAAGAGCCTCAAAACTCTCTTTTTGTCCGTGACCCTCTAGATACTGACCATAGACTCTGTTCTGGAAGACATGACCAGTGTGTCCAAGGAACCTCCACATCTTTGTAGCTTTATTTCTTAACTTCCTAACTTTTTCATTTTCTGGAGAGCATGGAGTTCTATAAGTTTCATTTCTAAAATAATATTTTTGACATTGACTTTCTAGGTTATCACTTCTATCGATATTCTATGGTTTTGGTTCAAATTGGCTATTTCTAAGGCATTCAAGGAAGACATAGGTAAATCATTTTATATTACAGATTTCATGGATAAAATGTAAGTATGAAAAAATTATGCTTTATAGATTTTGCTGTTGGGGCTTTTTAGATACTGTATGATAATTAATCAGCGCTGAAATGCATAAGAAACTGTTTCAATACCTTTAAAAATTGTTTTAAATGCTCGTCTTCATGTAACCAGTCTTTGTAGAGAGAAGTCCACTGAGACACCAAATGCAGGACTTTTCGTTTCCTACAGGATACATCAGAGTCGTCTTCTTTCCCTTGGTGGTTCTTAGCACAATAGGTACAGTAGGTTAAGGAACAAATACTATCGTCTCACTGAAACTTCAAAATTAAGCGATGGAAAAGATTTCACAATCATCTCGTTGACTAAGGAAAGATTTTTTTATTTTTTTATTTTTACTACATTGCTCAGTTTTGAATGTTTTATCCTGTCTCAAGCGTTAGGAATTTCATCAACTTTTTGGAATGAAATGCTCAGTAATAGAAATGTCAGTTCATCTGCTGTGCTAACAGGATTTCTTATTTTCCTTTATAGATTAGAGAGGCAAGTCTATAAAAGTAAAATCAATTCAAAAAGAGTTATACAATGTTGAGTCATATCTTTTCTGCAGAACAGGGAACGAACCTTTGTCCTGCACGCCGATGCCAACATGAATGTCTGTGGGGAGGAGGACAATGCATCATTAACAACACAAAAAACCCGGGCAGCGGCAGTCAGTTTCTTTTTCCCTGCACAAATTACAGTATCTGCAGAAATAACACTATTAAAAAAAGGAGGTGAAAGAATCTATTTCCACCATTATTCTCTATTCAAAAAGCAGAAACACCAAATGACAGAAGATACCCACTTTATATATTGTTCCTCTCCCTTTGCTATTCTTTCTTTTATTAGGTGAAAAGATGATGTTTTCACCACAAAAGCTAAAGAGGAAAAAATGAGAAAAAATAAAAAAATAAAAAAACTAAAAAAAAGGGAGTTCATTTTATAGTACAAGTTCATTCAAACAATACTCCATCACTTATGGAAGTAATTGGAAACACAAGAAAAATATTTGTCTCAGAATGAGTTAGACATATACTGTATCACATTGATAAAAGGAGCAGAGACTGTAAAATACTTATTCTTCATTTTTTTCTCTTCACATATTCTGAAATGTATTACATAGATATAGGTATTCTAAGAATTAACATACAGGTTATGGAGCTGGAGAGGTTTTAATCCCATTTTAAGTGTTATTTTGTAAGAGTTATAAAGGTTTATATATCTTTAAACAAAACCAGCAGACATAAGATTGCATTGCTGCTATGAGCTAGGCATCTGCTTCAATACATCCTTCAAGCATTCTTCTGAAGTAAGTATGCACATATACAAATGTGTATATTTTGGGTACAGGTTTATTCAGAGGCAGCTTTAGCTTTGTACATTCAACTTCAGAGCAGGAATTTTCTGTTTATTGATTCCTCAGCTATGCAAATTCTAAATGTTTTAATATCTGAATGTGTGTGTGTGTGTGTGTGTGTGTGTGTATATTTACTGGCACGTGCCAATTAGGAGAACTCGTATCCAAATTTGGATTTCATGTTTCCAGTTTGAATCTTTTCCTCCACAACCCATTTGAGTCAAGAAAACAATATAACCTGAACTTTGGGAAGCTATAGATTTGAATCAAATTCCAAGTTATTATAAAACCTTGTGAAAACTGGACTGGAGAAAGAGACCTTGAAAGATCAGCTTGTCCATCCAAGTCCACCCTAACTAGTCCACTCTAAGAGAGGCTAAAGTATACCCTATGTTATCCTTGGAATCTATTTTCTAGTTTCTTCTTCCTAATAGTCTCCAATATCAAAGATTTTACTGTCTCACACGTTTTACACTCCAGTGTTTCTTTTCTTTGTGTAAAGAAAATACTTCCTGGTATCCAACATGAAACTGTCTTACAGCAATATAATCTCACTGCCTCTTGCCCCATCTGGCATTGATATGGGAACAGATTCATCCCTTCCTCTTTAGGTACCTGAAAGATTGTCCCATTTATAGCTTCCCTTTTTCTCAGTAAAACAATCCCAGTTCTTTCAATCCTTCTTTGTATTTCTTTTCTTCTAGAATATTAACAATTCCCACAGCTCTCTTCTGAAGTTTCTCCAATTTTTCATGTACTTCTTGGGGTGTGATGCCAAAACCCCAGGTGCAGTCCACCTTCTAAGCATGCCACAGTAAATATTAGACAACTGTTCTCTTTTCTCATCATTCTTACATGCAACCTCAAAATAATCATGCGGGGTTGTATTTCAATACTATTGATATGCAAAGAACAAAACGAATGCAATTCACTACATTTGATATAAGGCTTGGCGATCTGTAAACCCAGGTGTAACTTTGCGACCCCTGTTAATACAACACTTAATAAAAGGATATTGCCTCAGAAGCGCCTGGCACAAGTCATCAGTCGTCATGAAGACCGTGTACGTGAGAAGGAAGTCATCCAGGAGAGTTTCTGTGGAGGAAGACAAAAAAAGCCCAACAATACATTATTGAGAGGAGGAGGAGAGTATCTATTCCTGTTAGCGTGCATGGCAGGAATAGGACCCCTTTCCCCCAAAAAAGGTCCAGAGCATACAGAATACATCAAACTTTAAGTTTCAAACAGCTAACAGTATGTCCACGCTGCAGAGATCAGATCCTTTATTTAATGAGCACATTCTCAGTTCTCAAAGAACAAGCAAGCACAAACATGCACAAAATAAGCCACAGTTCAGGAATCAGTAAGAAAGAGCCCTTATCATGAACACTGCCATCCTGGTTGGCCCTGCTGCATGCAAAGCAACCTTTCCACCAGTTAAGTTGTTCTGGAAATTCAGAAGAAAAGCTTTTAGCGTTCCAGTCCAAGCTAGTGCTGGTGTTCGTGTGTGCAGCTGAGCATCCCAGCAGCTTGTCACGCCCAGGCTGCAATTTCACAATAATTTAGACCAATTTCAGTTACAGCTGCCTTGGACCTCCTTGTCAGTAAATTATTGACCCCATAGCTGTGGTGCAGGATGGCAATAAGAATTCATCTATATATCATTCAAAGTCAGATATCATGTGGATATCACACGGATGGATAGCTAATGACAGCCCACCCTGTGAGCATGGGATTCAAAACACCTCCGTTGTCTTTAAAAAAAAAACCAACAGATCTAGCTAGATCAATGGATTTAACACAGCTGGTCTAGAAAGAGTCCTGATCTGAAGACGCATAGCTAACATCCCTTGTGATCAGAAACAAAACAATTAAATTCTTTATATTTCACAACATTCTTAAAAACGGTGGAAAGCATTATCTCTGTATAAAAGAATATTTTGTCTCAGTAAATGAAAAGACATTGTGAACAGCTTGTTCTCTATCTGAAAGGTCATCTATTCATTCTGTTGCACATCTTTTGGATGATACAATGCAGCTATTAAAGTGGGAGGGTTCAGAAACATTTATTTGGAAACTGCTGTTCTTGGGAGTCAACAACCACATTTTACTTCTTGACTGAACTATGTAGCTGTGCAGTGATCCTCAAGAAATCAAAGATACGCTTAAAACAGATTATGAATTCCCCAACTTTCTACACTGTATATGTGATATCTGAGTTTCAGCAATACATAGCCCCGTGTTCAGAAAAGAAATGAATACTAGCTGAAGAAAGGAGGAATGATTATCAGTGAACTTCCGCAGTTGTTCAGAATAGTGTGATTTTATCTTACTAACTGGTGTTAAAAAAATACCAATTTAAAAGTTTATTCTTAATAGCTGATTGTCTGTTTTACAGATGTCTATCTTCAATTCTTCCAGCATCCCAAAGTGTTGGGGTGGGAAAAAAGGCTGGTTTTGCTATGATTTGAGGGTTTTGCAAGAACTATGCCACAGATATTACTAATGTAATCCTCTCAAAAAAATATTAATGAAGGGAAGATTAAAATTGTATGTTGGTTTAGATAGCTTACAACTGGTTTTAAACTCTCTGTTTATCTCCCTCTCTCTGCATGCTCAATCATACATCTATCTCTTCAGTCTCTGGCTTCTAACAACCTTCTCAAAAGCAGGCCATCACTCAGCCAACTTCAAGACACACATATGTATACAGAGTGATCTCCTCTTTCTTCTAAATGTAGAGGAAACACCAAGAAGAAGAAAAGTTCACAAATGATGATTCCCATGGCTTGTATATAGGCTAGATCTCTTCAAATTGCCTCTGAGCTTGTTTAGAAATGTAAACCCTAAAGGAATGTTTTGAACAAAAAAAGTCTGCATTCTACATGTGGTCCATTAATAGCATCACTCATCCGTTAAATTACTTTAACAAGTAAGCAATGAAAGTGCTTTTGCTAGATTAAATATCTATTACCAGACGTCACCTAAAGACTTTACAGTAATATTCAGATTTTAAAATGCATGCACTAGCTTGTAGGTATTTCCCTGAAGTCCTACTGTTCACTGTAACTATCTTCTGTATTTTCTCCTTAGATGCACTGTAATTTAAAATCATTCCAAAATGTTTTTTCACGCCATAGCAAGGACACAAAACCCAAGGGTGTACTGATTCTTCACAAATAACGTGTTCAAAACAAACAATTGCACACTTCTCAGATATTTTTGGACATTAATACATGTCCACAAATCATGACTTGCTGGTCTTAACCTGCAAGAAAAAGTCTAAGCATGAGAGAATTTATTCACAGCAAATTTTTCCATTCTGTGTTACTAATGGCCACTAAGGACAGTAAATTTGAATGTGGAAGGGCTCTACGTGTACAAGTTGGGCTGCTAATTATGAACAGAAGTCTTTCTGGGGTTCTTCTGTTTAGTCACAGTTGATTTAAGAGTTAAAAAAAAAAAAAAAGGCCATTCCAGTCAAATCATTAATTATTTACAATGCTCCATACCCCCACTCAGACTGGCAGTGAAATGCATACCTCTACTTTTAAATTTTACTCTATGTTCCCGTTTCTGCATAAATTTGTGACCACCTTCCCCATTATTCCCATAGAAGAAGTTTCTCTAGTATTTGTAGCAAACAGGAAGAATAAAATGCACAGTAATAGTTGGAAAGAAAAACTCCCATTGGAAGGGAAATCTTTGTGCAAAAGCCTGTGATGCTATGCTATTTTTTTTTAATTTCTCTTCTTCATGAATTTTTTATTTAATCATTTTCTTCTAGCCATCAATCTAATTTTTCTTTGTTCCTCACAATTTTCCTTTATTTGGCTAAGCAATTATTACAAAGTATGCAGTTAGCTTGCAGCTACAGAATATTTCATTTCGAAGACAATTTCAAGCATTTTAAAGCTTCATTAAGACATGCAACAGAACCAGCACGAGTTCAATGGGCTCCTGCTCTTGCAGCTCTTCGGGGGCAGCCTTAGGCGTAATCTCACCACACCGAATGTGTGTGAGTACCATAGGCGTAAAAATAATAAAAAAGCAGGCACTGTGCTTCTTGTTTGTTATTAAATAATCAATGCACACCAGCTTCTGCTGAGACAATTTCTCATGGGCTGTCTGTGTCCCCTCCTTTCCCCAGGTGAAATAAAGCAGCGTGGATACCAGCTTTACCGGGAGCAGAGAGTATTTTTTTGCAATATCCAAGACCTTCTGCAAGATACATTCAGGGTGGCTGAGGGATGGAGAAAGCAGTATATAGACATGGGATGTTCTGGCCCATGTGAACTACCAGGGAACATCTGCTTTCAGCTGGTGACTAAAGGACCCAGCAATAACTCTACAAGAGAAGTTGCAACTGTATTGCATGTATAAGGCGATGACAGCCAACAGCAACAGCGGTGTATTTGGTGGGGAAGGGGATCTAGAGTCCCAGAGGCTACAAATGGTCATATATTTGGATAAACAACACATCATATATTCCCATGTACTTAAAAAATCCAGAGGATTTCCTGCTGCTTTCCATGTGCCCGCTTTACTCTCTAACCAGATCATACCCTTTCTGTCCATAGGGCAACTCTACAAAGATATAAACTCAACATGAGGGCATGTTTTTAAATGCTGGGAGGGTAGAATGGGTTTCTCACATGGGTTTACACACCAAATCTGATTTTTCAATGGTTTATTTTCTCCCTTCTCCACCCTAGTCTCTAGGCAGGGTATCAATCACTAAGCCTTAGGACAGAAATGAATACAGATCTGTAGCCAGAAATCGTCCGTGACGCACATTGAACAAATCAGGACAGGCAGAGCACTTCATGGTGCTGCCATGTCTAACACCTGGAAGCTCTTCTCAAACTTGAGCATTTTCTTAAACTACCACAGTGGTACAAGGCATCAGTGGAGCAGTCTCACAGTAATAACTTGTACATAAACAAGAAAAGAGACTTAATCTAAAGGAAATGCCTTTGTCAAACGGAGTAAAAGCTACATTATTTTTATTAAATATATTTGAGGACAGTTTTTAAAAAGCAAATCTTTCAGTTTAGCTATCACACAGAATGAGTAAAGAAGGAAAAGTAGGGAAATATTCCAGTGTTCCAGATAGATACATCTTTCTAACTACCCACATAGCAATTTGTATGTCCGCATGTTATTTACTAGTATGCATGTGCACCAACACTGCAGTGTCTTTAGGCCATCACAGCTAAAACAATACTGTATACACATTTACATTACAAACCTGTTCAATAGCTCAAACTGTATTCAGAATATATCTACTGCTCTATTGCTAATATTAGACACCCTGTCCAGCTAAGCCAGATATAATCATTCCTAATGCTAGCACTGAGTCATTAATCCTTTTATACCCACAAGAGATAATTGAAGACAAATTCCAGTTTGTCCTTGTTTTCTGATCACCCTGTTACATCCTCAATAGTCTTTGTTTTGCTGCTTCTCAATGGTTACCAAAAAAAAAAAAAAAAGAAAAAAGAAAAAAGAAAAATAAGCCAAACAAGTCCTCCCACTATTGGTGACAAACTGTGATTGCTCAGATGGCAAGAACCATTCTCTTTTTTATATTGGACTTCTTCTCACACACTATTCTTCCCACTCTATGGCATTTCTGTTTCCATGTTCTTTCTTTGCCATTACATGCTTAATTAAATATTAAGAAAAAATAAAGCTATGAAAAACAAGGCAGCCAACGAGGTTTTAAATATGCAGTGCATAAACCTTTTTTCTTACAATTAAATGGTTTACAAAAGGTAACTTCCTCTATACAGAGGAGTATAAACATACAGACACTGCGCATATAGATTCTATATTCCTTTATCTGCAGATTGTATCACGTACTGATAGTTGAGGAGAAGGTACTGATAGTGAAATCTGTTAAACTGCAAAGAAAAATGACTCATCTAGGTTTTCTTTTTTAAAATTTATCACCACTCTGAACCCAGATCTCCTCCACTTTGCACTGTACAAATCCACTGTGAATGGCTGTGCAAGAATTACAGAAAGATTTAAGGGTCTTTCAGAACTTGTATTCCACACTAAATCGGATTATAAGAAAATATAGATAAAGT